AAAACAGGTCTATACTTATCATATTTTAAGCAATCTAACAATCTAACAGATTCAGGCTGGACAACAGGAAAAGCTTCCTCACTGTTAGAGCAATACAATAGTGGAAGCGGCTGCCTAGAGAGGGCTTTCCCACACTAGAGACATTCAAAAAGAAACTGGGCAGCCATCTGACTGGGATGGTATAATACGGTGTCCTGCAACAGCAGAGGTTGGACTCAATGGCCTTCATGGCCCCTTTCACCTCTACTATTCTATGATTCATTCAAAACTATGACATGGATCAGAAACATTTTCCTAAAAACTGAGCTGAGCAACACACTGGACATCAAGTCTATCTGTGAACCATCACTTTTTGACCCTACTGGGCAAACACCACTGTGTGATCTCAGCAAAATGTGGCAGCACAAACACATGCAGATCTTAGCCATATATTACATTTATCCCCACTTTTCTCAGGGCAAAGTCCTGCTGCAACCCCTTCTCTGAGCCCTCTCAAATTCCTCTCTGCTTTGTCACTGTAAGTATTGGGGGAAGCACCATAGGAAGAACATGAATAAAATGGAAGCAAATTCAGCTCTCACATGGATTGGAGCATAATGTGCTGGTGATAGTAACATGGGGGGAATTTTTAATATATATTAGATAATTTTTCTTGCCTGTGCCAAATGGGATTAAATTTTGTTGAGGATTTATGTTTTATTAACACGTAATTCATAGAGGAAGAGTGGTGATCTGATAGGATATTTGGAAAAAACAGTGAAATTAAGGCAAAATATAGGGCCCATGTTTGTACTATATATTTGTAATGCATGTAATTAGTGATGCTGCAAATATCTGTGATTATTTTCTGCTTCTGGTAAGAAAATGGACTGTTGCACAGATGTGCCTGAAAAGGCAGCAAACCTGGCATGGTGCTGATGCAGATTCATACCACCCCATCCATCAGCAAGTATGATGCTTTTCAGATGAAGTCCCTGATCACAAGGAAACTACACCCTAAATGGATAGTGGAGAAGCAAGGGTGAGAAGAGGCTAGGGTTGGAAGAGCTTAAAGCTTGGTTATGGTTGAGAAGAAATAGGAAGAGGACTGGCCAAAAGCCACATGGGGAAGCAGGCTTTTGAGGAGTGATATGAAGGAAGCAGGATGTGCACAGTCAATTGCATGTGCAGTGAGAACAAGAAAGAAGAAGTCCAGTCATTTGACGAACCAGGTAGGGGCGATAAGATTGGAGGAGTAGAAGTCATAGGTGCAGAGAAGATAAGACAGAGTGAAAGATAGGATGGGGCATGTCTGTAGCTTAGGAAGGAAGGACAGGGATATTTTCACCTTGTGCTGAAACAGCTGTGGAAAGCTAGTGACTACAACTGCTGTAGTTGTAGTCATTGTTGCTGCTGTTGTACAGTCCTGAGCATGCCGCACGTTTCCCTTTCCAGCTGATCAAAAGGCTTTTGAGATGCAGTTCTTTGTTTGAGCAAGAGGGCTTTCAGATAAAGGATGCTAGATAAAAGGGTTATCCTTAAAGTAATTTCAATCAGTCACCCATGAGAGAGGTGTGTAGGAGCTGCTCTTGCCCGCATGAAGCCTGTATTCTAAATGAAAGATCCCCTCTTGCCTTGCTTTCCCAACAGTCTTGACTCCACCCTCAGGGAGGTTTTTACCAGAAACAGGGCAGAATGTAGAAAAGCCAGATGTTACTTAATTGGCCCATTTGCTTGACTTGGCACTGGCTCATTGGATTAATGAATTCATAACCCTCCTCCTCAGACCCTCCCTATTCTATAGATCCTCACTCGAAACCCAAGTGGTTTGATTCTCAGCAGCTGTCTGATGAATCTCACTTGTGAGCCTTGACATGTTTGTGCCACATTCTAACCCCTCTCTTTCTCCATCTGGTTCATATTCAACTGAGCTTTTTAACTAGGAATGTGGTGCTTGAGAGAAACAGGCATAGGAGATGTTTATGGTGCATGATACATAGTTAAGCTAATTTTCAGGGGTAATATGTGTTGATATAAACACCAGTGACATGGATTGCATAGTGTCACCTCTCATTTATTTATTTATTGCATCTGAATACCCCCATATTGATCCCAGAGAGGGGACTCATCTTCCATTTGGATTCGTATATAGGTTCTTGATGAGCGGGATGACCAGAATGTTTGGAAAATAAAAGCTCAGGTTTCAATAGTCCTCTGGTCACAGAAACTGTTATGTAGAATAGTAACATTTGCTTAATGGATCTGGGAATATTTATGCTAACACCAAACTTGCATGCCGAGTTGTGATGGCTATGTAGCTAAAGCAAAGATATTACAAAACAAAAGGAAGAGCGATCAACATGTTCAAGGAAATCTGAACATTTGCCAAAGTAGAAGAAAGTATATTTAGGGAGAAAAGTACATGTGTATAAGGAAATGTATCAAACCAAAGGAAACAAACAAAAAACTCAGAAATACTTAAAATGTTCAGCAAACAGGGCATGCTAGTGGCAGAGGAAGGGAAATGAATACTTGGGATGGGAGGAAGAGGAATGGAATGGTACCTGGAAAAAGGCATGCCTGGCTGGCACACTGAACAGAAGCTGCAACACTCTGTTGCAGGTTTTTGAATTACTAAATTTCAAATGCAAAAGGAAAGAGAACTTTGAATTGTGCAGTTACTCTCACGTCTCTGTGAATTACAAAGCAATTTCCAGTGTGTGGAGAAAAAGTACACTGTCTTCAGATCAATGACTTCTACCTGTTCTGCTATATTAAAATGTATGTGGGTACAGTGGCACTGAGAGCATAATTTTAAATACTGGAGTGACTGCACAGAGCATGGAAATCCCACTTAAAGGCTTTGAGTAATATGTTTGCTTTGATCATGCTAATAACCATTTTATAACTTGTACAATGCCTAATACGACAAACTAGAAACAAGAGAAGGTTCTTAGCTCTTAGAGGCTGAATATTTCATGGAAAAAATGGTGTTGCATAGTATTTTATGCAAGATACTAAAAAGAACAGGACAACTGCTTCTAGACTTTAAACTTTTATCCATAGTTCCTTCTGAGAATACTTAATAAAAAAATTGTTATTACATCTGGGATGTTTTGATAAGCACAGCCACTTTAGCTTAAGGGAAGTTTAGCAGTTTGTCACATTTATAAAAGGAATGTATCATAAGTAGAACTGCAAGCCTTTGCCATATTTTTAATGATATTTGAGGTTTAATATAGCTTTGTGTGTCATTAAATGTGATAACAGATATGTAAATGTGTCTTTTTCCCTGTCCCACAAGCCATAAACTTGTATCTAGTTCCAGTAGCAGATTGAATCATAATAATCCTGGCTAACTACAAATATTTCCAGGGTACAACCTAGGCTTTCTTGAGAAACCCTCCTGCATTACGCTACTGTCTTCTCGACTTCCTTCAGCATTCCCCACCTCCAGTTTCCTTGAGGTTATTCACTGGTGCATGATCCCCCAGGTTGCTCTAATATCTAAGTTGCCCATAGCCTGATCCTGCTTGGACAGAGTTTTGGGGAACTGTCTGATATTGTATTCTGTATTTACAGGAATCAGAGAAATGATCTGCTCATCCTAAGTGTGTTTTTTTCATTTTTCATTTCTACATTGGCTAATTTTCTGCATTATGAAGGCTTGAATGGGGATGGCATTGTCTTTCTTTCTTTAATAACTTTCTCTTCAGCTACATTTAGTTACTGCTACAAAAGCATAGTTTTTCTTCGTATGGTTCCTTTCTTTTGCTTCCTAAGAACTGGTAAAATACGACTCTTCAACAAAGGATACAAAAGGGAATACTTTGTGTGTGCGCATATGTATGTGCACGTGCACCTTCAACTGTTTCAGAGACCCTTTTATTATACGCTGTGACTTCCTGTTTCACAGAAAAATGAAATCTACTCGGGTAACCCAAAGTGCCAGGTGTTCTTCCCACACTGGCTAACACCACTTTGTGCATTTGCAGCTCTCCCCGCCCCTCCCATCCCTGGACACACACACTCCCCAAATCAGAACAGCTGCACTTGTATTAACTCCCATAGTATTACAGTGTATGCCATCGGCTCCTGCTCTTCCTTCTCTGGGAACAAAATGTACATATCGCAATTTCAAATTTGTCTCATGCAGAATCAGTCCCTGCAGCGCCGGAATGATTCCCTCTGTCACGCTGGGGCTTTGGTTCAGAACAAGCTAGCAGCAGAATGGCCCCTCTTGAACTGCTTGCATCAATTGTTGTGTGCCTGCCTTCTTGCCTATAGGCTCCAAGCCATCAGACAGATTATTTGCATAGCAGATCTTTATTTGCGCTTTGCAGCTACAAGATAAGCATCCCACCACCTAGGGGCTAGATGGAGTCACTGGGGCAGTGGGTGTGGGCTTGGGTGGATTCCGAGAGATGGTGGAGGAAAGGAGAGCCTGGAGGAATTTTGTCCGTGGGGTCATGATGGGTCGGGCACAACGTTGTGATTAAAACACAAAACAAAACAACCCAAATAAACTCAGTACCTCTTCTAGTTGGTTGGCTATGTCCTTGATTCTAAATTGCCTTCGTACTAAACTGGGGATCTTCCTCTTAGTTAGCACTATTATTTAAGGTTTCACGTCAAAGACTTCTAAACAGAGGTGCCAATTTAGCTTCCTGTTTCATAAGCCTTTGTCTTGCAAGGTCTGAGAGGCCCCTGGGTTAGGCTGAGTTGAGCATCAAAGGTATGCTTTGATGGAAGCATACCTTGCTGCATTGATGTCCAACCAAAGCAATCTGTTCTCCCTCCCTACCCCACTGAGGATGAGGGCAAACCTGTTCTTCCATCACTTAGAGGAAGAGAGCTTTTAATTGGCTAAGGCTATGTGCAAACTGGCCTGAAAAAAAAGAAAGACTGGTGCATAATATGTATAAAGAGAGAGAGAGTAAAAAGTGATCAGTATTCATTTTAAGCTAGGAATAAAGTCTACTTTGGTTTTGCCATAAATAGTATGCTTATATTGTCTTTAGGACCATAGGCTACAAAAAGAAGTATGTGAAAATTCCACATGGCCATATATGGGTAGAAGGAGATCATCGCGGACATAGCTTTGACAGTAATGCGTTTGGTCCGGTAAGTTGTTCATTTCCATGTGTATGCAATGATAATCATATATGAGATAGTATGTATGCATTTAAAAGGAGTGGGGATTTTATCCCTGTAAGATTATTCAGATGGAAAATTCAGTAAGGGCGCATTCTCCCATTGTAGTGTTCCAGAGTGTGTAACAGGAAAGAAACTTTAAGGTTGCTTGTGGATCCATATAGTGCAATGAAAAGCATATCTACTCAAAAACCCATTGAATTCAGTGGGACGTATTCCCAAACAAGGGTATGTAAGGATTGCAGCCTTAAAACACCAATCCTTTCTCCTATTCTAGGTGCTTGTTCTAAGCACACTTGTATTCAACATGTAACTTTCTGTCATTTTGAGATTATTGTTGTCTTGGGAGGTTACTGTCTTTGAGTACTATCATTATGACTTGACAATTATTGAGTACCTATGGCAGGCCCTGAGCCATTTAGGACACAGAGAGGCCCAGAGGATTGTATAATCTCTGTTAGACTGACCTGTCTGAGTCAGAGAGAAGAAATGGCAATGATAGGTAGGCAATGAGAGTAGAAATATTGCAAGATTGTGGGAAGGGAATGTTTGATGGCACTTCAGGGAAGGCTTTTGAAGAGACGAAGATCTTGAGGAGACTTGTAGATAGTGATGGCTATTTGACCCCTGTAGATCTCTTGTTTTTGTGATCCATGGAAGGTTGGTAGCCAGATGAATATAAATGGCAAGGATAAACAGAAGGCTCAGAATGACAAAAGTCATGGAGTGGGAAGTGGAGGTGACAGGAGATTATATTAGAAGTACAAGGGGTACTGCATGCATCAGTTGCTCAGGAGCTTGGATGAATGGAGGTCTTGCACCCATCTTGCTTGAGGGATCCTGTGGGCAGCTGGTTTATCACCATGTGTCCAGAGTGTTTAACTGGTTGGATCTTTGGTCTCATCTGGCATGGGCTTTCTTAGGTTCCTATGAGGGATGCAGACAATGCTATCTAATGTTGTGGTAATGCACACGTGCATAGGTATCATCAATTGCTCATAAGCAAACATTGGAACATGGTCTGTGAAAAGGCACTGTGTTTGATATAGTATGAGAGTTCTGCCAGTGATGTGCGATGGCTGGTTCACACATGCCACTCGTCACTGGATGACTGCAGTAATGGATTGATGAACATATAGGGAGAGATTAACAGATGGGGTAGAGAAGAAGAGAGGTCTATAAAAGAGACTGAGGACCTTGAACTTGAGAGGAAGAGCAACAAGAGCCAAGGCAAGGATGAAAGAAGAGGATTTCATCATAGTTGTGGGAAGGAAGGCACCAAACTGTAGCAGTAGTTCTTTCATATTGTAACCCTCCATACAACCTTTTTTATTTTCCTGACATTTTAATATTTAACTGGTTTTATCTTTGATTTTATCATTAATGGTTGAATGCAGTTTGTTGGTATGGTTTTTTGGGGGGGATTTTTGTTTTGGTAAGCCTTGTTGAGACTGGTATTGGGCGGCATACAAAAACTTTAAATAAATAAATACAAGTGTGATAACAAAAAATGAATTTAGGTAGAAATACTTGCTGTAATAGGTAGAACAATTAATGAAAGATATGGTAACTGTTAGTGTTAATTCACACATTTCATTTGCATAAACTGTGAGTGTGGTTTCAGTATAAATAGAGGACCCAGTGTTTTCTGGGTATCCCATTCTTGTAAAGTAGTTGTCCATATTAAAAGAAGAAGAAAAAGATAAGATGGAGTAAGATAAGATAGAAAAATTGAGTTGGAAACCCAGAGGAATTCCATATCTTGAAACTCTGGTAGGCATATACTCTTGTACAGTTGTCTCAGCCTCTAATATTATGCCTCATAATGTTTCATATTTTCTTAAGCAGAAAGAAAGAGGAGTATCAGTATCTTTTTAAGAACAACAAGCAATGGCAATGCTGCTGCATGAGTCTCAAATTATGTTTGGGACATTTCATATTTACTTGCCTGTAAGATCTGACTTGGAGACAATCCTCCTGTTAGCCCGTCTATCAGTGTTTGGCTAGGTAAACCTGCAAAAATAAATAAACTAAAATAGGAAAGAAAAAAAGTTTTTCAGTAGGGGCAGCCCATCTACAAGACTTGCTTCCCAGCTGTTATTTTTGATGCATTGAAAATGGCATCCTTCAGGCAACAGATCAAGACTGTTTATTCTCCAAGGCTTTTAATCTTGAGTACTCTGTGTCCTGTCTGATTTTGCATGCTTCTTTTGTTTCCAATCTGATTTGCTTCCAATCTGATTTGGTTTTAATTGCTTGTGTTCTGTTTTATTTTTACTGTTCACTCTGTCATTGTAATTTTTATTTGTTCCTTGGATACATTTCTTTGTAATTTGCTGTGTATGTTTTTAACAGAAAAGTAGGATGTATCATATATAAATAAAAACAATGGAAATTGCTTCCTTTTAAGAAATGGCATCAAATGCATTTGTAGGTTTTCCTGAGAAATACAGCACCAGTTGGTGGTATGGGTGCAGTTGTTGGGATTTAATACGGGTAAATAGTTTGCTATAAGTTTCCTGCATGTGTTATGATCTGTTTATTATTTATTTGAATGATAATTGACAGAGATTGGGAGACATGACATGTAGGGGAAGTTATGTGATTGGAGCTGAGATAACCACATACAGATATGTGAGGATAAAATGGAGAGGAGAACTTCATAAGCTTGTTTGGGTTTCTTGCAAAAGGACAAAAAGAGGGGCCTAAATAAACTGTAATCATCATCATCTAAAGGCATTCAGCATCAGAAATGGTAAAAATCATTATGCGTTGCACAGAGTTGCTATCTGTTAGTGCCACTGAAAATGCCACCAAAGAGGAGGATAGTTCAGTTTCATTATGCCAGCCATGGATAAAGGTTCAGTAACCCTACTGTAGACTATTGCATGTGTCACTGCATACTGCTATGGATATTTATATAGAGAAATGTTGGAGAAATCCTCAACAGATTGAACTGAGTTCTGATTTTTAGGAATCTGATCCATGGATTCCACAGCAGATCAACCTTTCCAGAGTACAGATTCCACAGTCTCAGACTGTTTTTGTTTGTTTACTTTCTGCAATTTTATGCATTTCATACAGAAAATACTGTCAATTAAAGTGTGTGTTTCCCTCTATAGACAAATGTATGAAAACATGCATCGTAGAGAGATGTGTGCATTTTTACAAGTGCACATTATCATAAGTGCAAATTGCTCAGGTGTGCATGATGCCAGTTCAGGAAACTGGAAAAAAACCTGATTTATTCAATAAGTAATTGCAAAATACATGACAACTCATAAAACTCAAACAGATTTCATAAAATGCATACAAGCACACACGGTTGTAGATTCTGGTACTGACACTGTACTGTTCTAGCTCTTCCTACTACTTATTTTCCCACACTGTAATCCTTTTTCCAATGTAAATTTGAAGCAGATGATCAAAATGAAAGGATGTCACTGAGGCAGAAATAAAGTCCTACTTTTGTTATAACAAGGGTCAGCCAAGTGAAGAATGTTAGGTATGTCAGAACTTTAATTTCCATGTACTAATACATTTTCCCATGAAAATATACATAGAAATATGATCTTTAGAGTACTAATAACATTTTATGCTGATCATCTACTTCCATTTCAGGCAATGAGCTAGAAATGTATGGATCAGCCTTCTCACCTGGGTGCTTTCCAGGGATTTTGGTCTACAACTCCCAGCATTCATAATCATTGGCAATAGGCCTGATGGGAGTTGAAGTGCATATTCGCCCCAAGTTGGAGAAGAGTAAAGTCAGACATAGTTATTTTTGTAGGTGAACATTATGAGTTTCATGAGATGTAAACTGAATCGGTGAGGGGGGAAAATCAGAATGAGAACTGATTTTAGCACCCAGTATGCTGCTTTTTAAATCCAGAATTAACACTGTGTTGTGGGAGAGCAAAAAATATTTTGGATCCCCAGGTCCACAGTCAGACACAAAACTTCAGAAGGGGAATTCAGAAATCTGACCTCCCACCCACTCACAACCAGCACTGAATGAACTGCACTGGCTACCTTCCAAAAGCAACCTCAGAAAGGTGTGGCAGTGACCTTGTAGAGGTGGGAAGAGGATCTTCGGGTGGGTTCAGAGGGGAGGAAGCCAGAAAGCCCAGGATACAAGCTATCTTGCAGCTGTTTCAGCTTCCTTCCTTCCCCCTCCGAAACCTTCCAACTAGCTAAGGAAAAGGCCTGTCTAGTAAAACCGCAGGGCAGGATGGCAGGAGGGAGAAGGTTGCTTCCACCAGGTGTCCATAAGCTTCCATAGAGTGGTGGTCTTACAGCCATTGCCATAGATCTGAACTTCTGGTGATCACTGGGAAAGGACAGTAAGAAAAACCCACTTGATTCATTTACAGTCTATTATTTCTGGAAATGTAAGATTCTTTAACATCAAATAGTTAAATCGCTCTTTATAATTCTCTAGTGTGTGTGTGTGTGTGTGTGTGTGTGTGTATTTAAATGTGGAACACAGGTTCCTTGCAGTAGAATGGTGTCTCCCCTTTACTCAAAATGTGGTAATACTTGCTAAGTTCTGTCATGAATGTGGCCTTTTAGCTATTTAAAAATATATTCTACAAACTTTTACCACTGAAACATTTTTGTTTCATTGTTTGTATCATTTGATGATAGGATGGAAATTAAAATATCAATGCATGTAAAGTTTTTTCATTGTTTTGATAACTTTGGAGTTTTGGCATTGTGGTGATATTTTACAATGCGAGAGGGAAGTTGCATAAGACCAAAACCAATATTGGGTGTTTTTGTTATTTGTTTCTACTTCTAGCTGTGTGGATGAATAAAATACTTTTACTGAAACTGGAAAGCAATAACAATGTGATAACAAGTGTGCTGAGCCAGAAACTTGGATGTCTGGGCCATAAAACTAGCCAGCTACAGATTTAGCTGTTAATTACTTTGCAGCATGTTAGATTAAATTAAAGAAAGCAGCCTTT